TCAAACCACTTGACCATGGAGTTCCAAGGTGCTGAGGATGCAACTGAAGGAGAACCAGCAAGACCTCTGAACCACGGGCCTCTCTCCCCAGGTTCCAGGTACCCTGAGAGCCAGGCACCTGCACTGACAGCCCCTGCGAGGGTCTCTATTCCGCTTACCTTCCTCCCAGGAGAGTTTGTACCTCCCACCTGCTCCAAGGCAGGCGTGAGTTCCAGCACCTCCTGCCCATGGCTGGTGGGTGAAAGGTGCAGAGTCTGCTCATCTAGCATCATAGGAGAGAGGCAGGACATAAGACAGGTCAGTGTTCAGTGGTGACATGTTTGTCTGTGCATTTTTTTTATCTAGGGGTCTATTGAGAGTGTCATGAGTTTAAATATGTCCACCGGAGTACCAGAACCCTGCCCCTGGTGATCCCGTTTGGAATCCAGATAGGGAAACAAGACAGAAGCATCTAGAGAACTTCTACATTTGACATGGAAATTCCTGTTTGTCCTTTCATGCCCCTTGCTGGCCTGCGATTGATTCGGGCACTGAATGGGGTGGAAAGCACAAATGTTACCAAACCAAGACAGGTAAATATCTGGCATTCATCACCCCTGGAAGAGGACTCCAAGACAGCCCAATGGACAGAAGGCAGGGGATTGAGAGAGGGGAGGGGGATTTCATCTTGGTTTTGAGATAAGTGCTTGGACAACAATATTACGATGTTGATAGCAATAGTGCAAACAGGAGTCAGGAGGCTGCCTTGACTCTTGAACAGAAACTCAGCGGCTGGAATATGGGGTTGAGAGCAGGGGGATACCTGCTGAAAGAAAGAACACTTGAGACAGCACCTTCCAGTCCCTTCCTGCCCTCCACCTTCTCAGTTTCTCAGTTTCATCTTCTCCCACCACAGGAACTTTCCACACAAGAAGACCCCAGACACAAACACACACCCACATGTACACATACCACCCCCACACCACACACACATGTACACACACATGCATACAGATACACACATGCAAACAGACTGTACAAGCACACACATGTATGTACACGTAAACACACACCATGCACAAACATGGAAGCTTGAACACACATATACATAAATGCACTCACACATCACACACGCACACCAGGTGCTCATGCGTGTGGCCTTGTGACAAAGCGCTATATTCTAAAGAAGAAGGAAGGACTCCCCCGCAAAGGAGGTTGTCACCAAGGAAACAGTAGAAGGACAGGTGTAAGCTGAGTGGTCTCGTCAGATGCTGCCCTGACAGAATCACTGCCTCCCACCCCTCCATGTCTGTCTGAGCCACAGGAGAACTGAGCCGCTGAGCCTGAAGGTTCCTGGGAAGCTTTGCCTGCTCTTCCAGGGCCTGCAGGGAATTGCTTTCTTATCAGTTCTCAGATGAAGCCGTCTGGCCCCAGGAGGTTAAATAACTCTGCTGTGAGAGGTCACTGCGGAAATGGAGGGCAGTGGGTCCCAGCCGCTGCTCTGCCGGGGCTTGTTGAGGGCTTAGCCAATCACAGCGGCTCAGTGGCCCTCTCAGGGTCTCCTGGGGAGATGATGTCCCTGAAGATGGCACTCGGCCTAAGGCTGGCAGCAGCTCAAGCGGGTTGGACACCCCACCTTCAGCTCCCACTCTGAGCCACATTGTCACCCTGCTGTGTTTAACATGAAATGTCACCTGTTACGGTCTGGATCCAGACCATCCTTCACACTCGGATCCTCAGCTGGTGGTGCCAGTTTAGAAGGCTGGCTTCGGATACTCGGGCAGGCCTGTGAGCGCTATAACCTCCACCTACGCTCTGCTTCCTGGTCCTCCATCTTATGAACAGCCTCCTCTCCCCTGGGCTGGTCTGTCAGACAGTCTAACCACCCCAAGACAAGCTTTGGGGCTTTGTCTCCAGCAACTGATGCCCTTTGGGGAGGTTCTAGAAACAGGAAGTGGGACCTAGCTGGAAGAAGTAGGTCACTGAGGTGGTCTGGTTCCCAGGTCCTTAGTCCATCACTCTGCTTCCCCCTCCCTCACGCGTCCCCCCTCCACGCGTTCCCCCCTCCTCCACGTGCCCCCCCTCCACGCGTCCCCCCCTCCTCCACACATCCTCCCTACCAGTGTGCTGCCTCAGCACAGGCCCAGAACATGCAGCCAAGCAACCACAGCTGAGCCCTCAAACTGAGACAGATATCTTCACTTACTTAAGTTGCTCGTATCAAGTGCTGTGTCCCAGCAATGAGAAGGGTGAGTACCACCCCACCCATCGTCTCAGAATGCATTCAAACTGTTAAACAACAACACATTAATGCGCAGACACCATCGATGAGGCAGTACCTTTGAATGCTGCAACCGGCCCTGAACTTAGTTCCCGGGAACCATTGTGACTGCGTAGCCAGTGTCCCCCTGCCGTCTTTAATGCATTCACCTTTAGTCAATGTGTTGTTTTCTGGGGTTTAAACACAAATGGTATCAAATGCACCGACTGCACCAAGTCCACGATGCAGATGAGTTTCTACAAACGGTACCGTGAGCTTCAGCAATGTCTTGTAACCTCACCTGCACACTGGCAGAACACCAAGCACCTTCCGCCTGTGGCAGCACGGGCCAGGTAGCCAGGGATGCTGCCCACTGTGTACACAGGCCTGAGAAAGCTGTGTAAGTGCCCACCACTGAAGTGGTTTTCTTGGCAATCATACGATGCAAATATCTTTGTCCATTTAACTGTCTGCCTTGGAGATCTTTCTGAGTTAATATTACTGATCAGTCTTTTTTCAAAATTATTTGTATGTGAGTGTGTTCATGTATGTATACATGCAAGTGTGTATGATGTGTATTTGTGGGTGTGTGGACCAGAGCACCAGAGAACAACTTTGTGGGATTGACTCTCTCCATGAACCTCTATTTGGGTTCTGAGAATTGAATTCAAGTCATTGGGTTTGCATCATTGGGTAGGAAGTGCCGTTACCTGCTGAGCCAGCTCACTGGCCCTCCATCAGTTTTCTTACCTGTTGTATAGTATTCTGTACCATGGATTTCTATCCTTAATTTAGCTATTCAGCTTTTGGTAGGCATTTAAGTTGTTTCCACATTTTATTGGTGTAAATAATACTACATTGAACAGATGCTCATGGTAACTCATAAGATAGACAATTATTTGTGGATCTTATTAAACTAGGAAAATGAGACCAGTACAGTCGAGAAGCTGGCCAGGGGTGATGGAGATGGCTCCGAATTAAAACACCAGCTGTGTGAGTTCAGATCTCTGGTACCCATGTAGATGCCATGTGGGTGTGGTATCCCTCCTGCACTTCCAGGGCAGACAGGGATCTCTAAAGCAAGCTGGCTAGCAAGATTAACCATATGGGCAAGCTCTGAGTTTGTCTGAGAGACCATGCTTCAAAGAATAAGGTGGAAGGATGACTGAAGAGACTCTTGACATCAGCTTCCAGCCTCTACATGCACACACATACATGTTCACATGCACCTACACAACATTCATGTGCCCACATACATGCATCACACACACACACACACACACACACACAAAAGGAGAAGGAAAGGTATGGGTAACACCTAAAAATCTGAAAAGAGACTAAATGAGGGTGATGAAGAAGGGTGAAGAGTAGGCAAAGGGACACATGACAAATGGAAAAGCCTGCGGAGAGGTGAAGAGGTCACAAGGGGAGTCAGTGGTGGGAGGGGAAGGAGGATCATGGATCACAGTTTGCTCAACAACGCCACAGTGACATCTAACTCCTGGTATGCTGATGAAAGGGGGCAGGGAGGAAGAAATTTTTTCTAAACATTCAGGCTAGCGTGCGATCAGGTTGGCCAGCTTTCAGGGCTCGTGTTCTCCCACAACAATTGGATTTCTAATCTCTTCATCTCCAGCAGAGTCTGCTTCTTCCTCACCATTTAGGCATGAACACAGCCTTTGATTTTCTCACCCTGGCCTGGCCCATGACCCCTTCCAAGGGGGGCAGCCATGGATGTCTATACCCTAGAACCCTTGCTTTCCCTTCCAGAGTCTCTTCTGGATTCCAGCCTGCCACTGAAAGGAAAGCAGCAGGCCATGGTCATTCTCCAGGAAAGGCAGCTCCAGGGAAGCATGGGCAAGGCAGCTGGGCAGAGCCTCTGGAGACCCTGGGACACTACAGCAGCTTCCTGAGAGCTCTCCAGACACCTGTCTCCACTCCTCAAAGCGAGGCCCAGCTAAGGTCAACACCCTGGGTTGTCACAACAGCCCTCCACCCTCTGACCACCCCCACCCCACCCCCCCCCCCCCCCCCCCCCCCCCCCCCCCCCCCCCCCCGTCAGGTGTCACAGAAAACCCTGCTTTTGTATGAAAACTGGAGGTCACACACAGCTTTCTGTGTCCCAGCAAACTGTGACCTACATAAAGTTTATGCCAAAAGAGAACATTGGCTTTTACCTGGGCTATTTATGAAAACATTATGATTTATGAAAAATGTTGAAATGTCAGAAAGATTTCTTTATGTTCCAGTAATTTCCCAAAGGGCTATGATCTAGAAATTAGGTGGGTTCACTATGCACAGGAAAAAGGGAACTGGGCTTTGGGGACAGATTCAAAAGCGGCCTTGACCTTATCCTCATGGTGACCTGCAGACTACTCTGTCTACAGCATTCACTTTGGTAACAGGAGGGAGGCGCAGCCTGGCTCTTCCTAGAGCAGGACAGTAAGATGGATTCTCCCAGGGCAGACAGAGAGGCTCCACCAGGGCTGTAGCCTGAGCGCAGCCACAACAGCAAGCCCCCTCTGTGGGCCAATGCAGGGAAGGCCCCTCCCCACACACACCAGCGGGGAGCGGGAGGGGGCGGGAGGCGGGTGCTGATCTTTATCATCCCCCTCAGCGGGTTAGCAAGGGCTTAAGGTAAGCTGCGCAGGCGCCAGGAGACCCTTCATTAAGCTTTACCAGATAATCCCAATCCTATCAAGGACTCATTCCCCAACTTGGAGGAAAAATAAAGCCACATGTACAGAAAGCGATGAGGGCACACAGGTAGCCATGGCCACTGCTTCATTCCTAACAGCTGCAGTTGAAGGACAGATGTGGGGCTCAGCACACAGCCCTGCACCCAATGGCAGAGATGCACCGCAGCTGAAGAATGGAGCTTGGGGCCCTGAGTTCCACAGAATGAAGAGGCTCGAGCACCCACCTCTGTAAAGTCCATGCTGAACTTTAATCACCATTGTGACAGCATTAAAGGGTGGGACCTCTGCTGGGTGCCCGCCTTTACTCTCAGCACTTGAGGCAGAGGCAGGCGGGTCTTATCTACAGAGTGAGTTCCAGGACAGCCAGGGCTGCACAGAAAAACGCTGTCTTGGGGTCGGGGGGGGGGGGGGAAGAGGTACAACCTCTAAGAGGTGATTAATACCATTATTTTGGTGATAATTACAGGAGTGAGTTACTGAGACTGGATTGCTGGAAGAGCAAGCCCTCCTCTGACTGACTGCCTCTCTCCACCCTTCTGTCTCATTGTGACAAAGCACAGAGGCTTCATTTGATGAGCACCATGCCTTCAGACTTCCCAGCCCCCAGAGCTGTGAGTCAAACTTCTGTTTATAAAATTCCTAGACTGTGGCATTCTGTTACAACACAGAAAAGAATTAGACCCTACCTCCTCCAGGACTTGCAATGCACAGGCCAGTTCTTTTTATACCACTCTGTTGGCTCCCAGGCTGGGGTCCCCACTTGAGGCTGGTGGCAGACAGGACTGGACAGGACAGAACCGGACAGGACTGGTCAGGACAGGGCAGCTTCCTGCAATAGAGCTGGTGGAGCTCCAGCTAGGTGCTCTGTCTCCCCCTAGTGGCAAGATCGGAGATGTGCCCAGGATGATTGCCCAGTGTCAAAGGACTAGAGGCGAGGATCATCCCAGAGGAGGAGAACAACCCCACCCCACCCATCGCCTGCTCATTAGTGTCTTGGCCCACTTTCAACCGCCTAGAACGGTAACAGAAGGTGCCATCTACCCTGTTATGGACTCAGTTGTGTCCCCATAAAAAAAATTGTTGAAACCCCAACATACTATGTGAAAGCCCTGACCCCTGTTTGGACATAGTTGTTACAGAGAAAATGGAGATTAAACAAAGTCATTAGATAAACACTAATCCAGGGGGAGTGGTATCCTTACCAGAGGCAAGAATACATTCAGGCATAGGAAGACCTGGTGAGGGATAGGGAAGAGATGGCCCCCTGTGAACCAAGGAGGGTGAGTCAGGAGACACTCCTTTGAACCCCAGTCATGGACATCCAGCCTCCAGTGACAATGTGTTTTTGTTATGAGCATGCTCCAACCCAAGGTAGTCCTTACACAGCCTGAGATAACAAAACAGGCCCCCAGCCCTCCCCTCCCCTGCCTCCACCCCTGCTCCTCTCCTCCCTCTCCTCTACCTCCATCCCTGCTCCTCTCCTCCCTCTCCCCTCCTCTACCTCCACCCCTGCTCCTCTCCTCCCTCTCCCCTCCCCTGCCTCCACCCCTGCTCCTCTCCTCCCTCTCCCCTCCCCTGCCTCCATCCCTGCTCCTCTCCTCCCTCTCCCCTGCTCATTCTCTCTCCATCCCTAAAGATGGCTTCTTATTCATTCTACAAAAAAGCACAGCACTGGCCATGCTCTTGGAGACACAAGAATGAGTCAGAGCATTTGTCCATCCAATACTTATTGAACAACTCCAGACTCTATTCTCAGGCCAGGTTCTGATGAGGCACGAGATGGGCATGGCCCTCGAGGCACACAGTCCGGTGACAAAACAGCCTGTGAGGAGAGCAGAATGGCTCAGCTGCGGGTGCTGCTCACCATCGAGTCCTATGCCCTGAGTTGATCGTGGGAACCCACATGGTGGAAGCGGAGAACTGACTCCCATGAGTTGTCCTCTGGCCTCCACACAGATAAGTAAATAAATGAATACACTTTTGTTTTGTTTTTGTTTTTCGAGACAGGGTTTCTCTGTGTAGCTTTGGAGCCTGTCTTGGAACTCACTCTGTAGACCAGGCTGGCCTCGAATTCACAGAGATCCACCTGCCTCTGCCTCCCGAGTGCTGGGATTAAAGGCGTGCACCACCACTGCCCAGTTAATAAATACATTTTTTAAAATCTTTTAAAAACTGCTTTTACTAAAAAAGCATTGACTCTTCCCTTGGGCCCACACTAAAACTAAAACAAGATGAAAGCCCACACCTTCTTGTCTCCACTTTGACTGTGGTAGAGATGCAAGTCAGTGTCCTTCACCGTCCCTTGTGTCACCTTGGATTCTGAGATTAGCAGATCCTCACAGGACATCCTGCCCTCTCAGACAAGCGTGGGCATCCATGATGATGAGGCTTGTCCATGGAACAGAAGCAATTGCCTCATAGGAGCCAGATGGACCTCCTCAAGCAATAACAGTGAGAAGAATTTTTCTGGACCACCTCACGGACCCAGACCAATAATGATGATGAGCCAGACTTAAGGAGAGAGACCTCTTGTTTGCCCTGTGCCCCAGTTCTCCCTGTATTTAAAACTAAAGCTCGTATCAGGACCCAAAGACAGACTTGGGGTCACTAGACTCACTTCTCTGTCCCTCTCCCGGTGTGGCCTCACTGACTAATTCTTTCTCCGCTCTTCACTATAGCTGGTCTTTGTCACTGACATATTGAGAAATGATAGCCTATAGGGGCCACCAAAACCCAGATGTTACCCTAAAAATGTCAGTTACCGGGCTTGGGAGGGGAGAGAAGCCCCTGTAGCCAGGAGTGCGTGGCCGCCAGTGAGTGTGGGGTGCACCAGGTGTGCCCAGTTCCCCAGGACAGGAGGGAAGCATCCCTCATCCCGGAGATGGAAATCATACCACACTGCATTTGGAAGGATGCCCAGGGGTTCTCGCTCCCTCTCCTCCACTAGAAATCAGTAAGCAGTGCTCAATGAACATATGTGAGCCATCCCTAGAGGCTGCTCATTTAGATAGCTAGAGTGTGCAGGCAGAGCAGGTATCAGCTCAGAGGAGAGAAAGAAACTTGCCCCAGAGGTGTTGGACCTCCCAAGGCGACATCAGTTCTGATGTGGAAGTTAATTACAGCACCAGGAGGCTTTATTTTCATCCTGTTCAACAATTACAACAGACCCCTGAGTGTGCGACAACACCACATCATATAAAATGGGATTTAATTATTCTCCCAAGTCAGAGGAGTTAACCAGTTTTGGAGGAAATGCATGCTTTAATGTGGTCATTTGGCAGGTGCCTCCTTCCTAACTCCTCCAATTCCTCCCAGGTGGGGCGTGAAAAGCTAAATCGAAAGCACATGATGCTGTGATGTGCACATGTGGCATCGTGTCCCTGAAAATGTTCTCAGGGCCCCAGCAGTCAGGACTACAGAGTTCTTCGTTCAGTCACTCATTTGCCCAACGGAAACATATGGCGTGCCTACAGCAAGGCTGGCATGGATCCTTCTAAACCTTGGGGAGACAAGGTGAATTTGGAGGCAAGTGTCCCCTCCAGATGCTGCTTTTACTCTAGCCAGGGAGATGCCTGGCACTAAGGCAGCAGTCTAGAAAACAGTGATTGTCAGGAGAATTCACCAGTGTGAAAATACAAGAGGGTTTATTGAGATACATGGCCAGGACATACATCAGGTGAGATCCCAGAGAGCAGTTTTTCAACCAGTTGTGAGGAAGTCACTTTATATTATCCCACAGCATCTTTGTGGGCTGCATAGGATGGATAGACAGGCCAGGCGACTTGCTATCCTGTCTTTCCTGAGACTGGCCATTTGCACAGTGCCTCACGAATCGCTGGGGCAGGCTCCTAGGAGGCGTGGTCTGGCTGTTCGCTCTGCCGTTCTATGTGCTGGATTTTTGCTCTTGTGTTGCTCTTCTGTCTCTACACAGACCAGACCCACAGACAGGTGAGAGGTCAGTGTGAGGTGCTGTGCAGGGAATTTAGTATACGGAGCTGTGCTCCCATGGGGCTTGATGGCCCCTTGACCATCTGGGTCCTCTCCACACAGCTCTCTGAGAAGGTGGCACTGATACTGAGGCCTGAATCAAAGAAAAGCCGACTAAGGGACAAGCATAAAGAGCAGAGGCAGGAATGAGGGAAAGACAGAAGGGCTGGGGGGGGGGGGGAGTACAGGACACTGTGGAGAGTCTGAGCGATCAAGACGAGAAATTGGATTTTAAGGGCAGAGGGAAACTATTACTGAGTATTCAGAGGTCAGGAGGGCCATACGCAAGTCTTTCATTTCTGAGTTTTTCTCCACCTGCTGTGTAGAGAATGGTTTGTGATGCAGGAATGGGTGTTAAGGAACAGAGAGGAGGTGCCACAGCTTTGATGACATTTCTGTCAATGGCTGTCCACCTTCCTCCAAAACATGACCCTGCCTGACCCCTGACTGCCCTGGGTCCAGTCATGTCTCATTCTCTGCATACAGGACTCTGCAGCTCACAAGACACCTTCATACTCAACGGTATTTGATTTGAGTTTCTTAGCAAACCTGAGACATACATCACCCCCCACTTCCAGGGGCTCAGAGAGGTTGAGTGCCCACCTAAGGACACACAGCCTGTTAGTGGCAAAGCTGAAGACGGAAGGCTATGGCTTCTGAGTCAGAGAGACAGCCAAAGCCAAAACGCAGAACTTTGAGAGAGCAATGTCTAGACCCATGGTGCCAAACGGCAAATTTTTTTTTTGGGGGGGGGGGCAAAAGGTCAGAGTCTTTACAACCCAGTGACCTTCAAAAAAAAAGTCTGGATCCAGGGTGAGGAGCAGATAGAGCACAACTTTGGAACCAAAGGTCTTTGATGAACTTTCAGGGGCTCCCTGGGCTACATTGGCCCTCCGCCTTCTCGGCTAGAAGGTGGAGTCAGCCTGGCTTTGAAAACACTGCAGAGACCGAGGCACCTTCCTTGAATCTTCTCCCTGGGCGACATCCTTTCCTGAGGCTTAGTCTGATTTTTAATATATGTATCCCCGACCCTCTGCTGGGAGCTGGGGAGTGTCTAGGCGGTGGGATGGCAGGGGCATTGCGATTCAAAAAGCTCCCGCCCGCCTGGGGGAACCCTAGCTCCCGAGACAACAGTGCCACCTAATGGTCGCTACTCTCTCTAGCTTCTCTCCCAGGATCACTTACTGGTCCAGGAGGTTTCTGCGTTTCCAAGAAGCCTCGAAGATGTGCTAGATGTGCTGGTCTTGGGAGCCTCCTTTTAGATCTTAACCCTCGGTGGCCCAAGGGTCCTCCGAGCCGTGAGGTGAAATAAAAAACAGAGAAAACTGGGGCGACTCTAAGGGAAAGAAGCTTTAGCTCACCTTTCATGGCTGAAGATAAAGCCACGATTGCCCGCAGTCATTCTTCCCTCTCCCGAGAGACACCTCAAACGAAACAGCAGGAGAGCTGTGCCCCACTTAGTGCAGAATGCTTGGGACCTTGAATCTTACTGCACTCGTGCCTCTCACTCTTAAACCTAAACAGTGCATCTCATAAAAACACCTTATAATTTCATTTACAAAAGAAAATCTAAGTTTAAAAAATTGTAACGCATGCCGGGCGGTGGTGGCCCACGCCTTTAATCCCAG